GTTCTCCGTTTGGTGCTGACTCGCGCCGTCTTCTACACAGCCGTCCTGGACTGCATCCGGCTCAAGTAGACGCACTTCTGCGTACCTACCGGCATTTCGTTGCAAAGTGGTTCCGTCGGCCACATGCTTGACAGGCTTTTCCCCACGCAGGGCAGCTCTCCTTTTTGAATGGGTGCATTCTCCCACAGAATTTGCACTCGCGGGGCCTTGGCGTTTCATGTCTGTTAGCCGCAGCAAGACTGCGTTGTACCGGGGGACGCCTTTGTAGTGCGTGCACCTCGGCGTTGGTGTCTCCGGCGAAGTCCTTCATTTGTTTTTGTGTCGCCTCGTGTGCTTTGACAACTGAAATAGCCTTGGCTAGAGTCAAATCTGGCTCCTGTAGGAGACGCTTACGTACAGACACGTCAGGGACTCCTAAAACGATTCTGTCTCTAATAAAACTGTCTTCTAGATCTCTGTAGTTGCAGGATTTGGCCAGTTTTCTCAATTCGGCTAGATACAACTCAACGGGCTCTTCGTTTTCTTGGTTTCTTGAGTTAAATTTGTATCTTTCAAATGTCTCGTTTTTAGATCCCCCGCAGAACTCTTCGAACTTCTCAAGTACAGTCGCTAGTTTCTTTTGATCTTCTTCATTTGGACACAATCCGTCCAGTACGTTCAAGGCTTCAGGCCCCAAACATGTCAGTAGAGTCGCCACTTAAACATTTTCCGGCCTTTCATTTAAGCCGGTTGCGATCGAATAATTATCCCACTGTCTTTTCCATGTCTTCCACGGTGCAGCCAGAGAATCGGTCTTTGACAGTGTCAGTGTCAGTGGTGGTGGAAGTGGAAATCCTTGCGCCATGTTTATCAACTTATTGAGAGCTACTCACTTATTCATCTAAAGTAATAGGTTCAATAAACTTCTGACACCATGTTACGTTTACTGTTAAAGCTGTGATTACTATCTAAGTAATATTATTCAGTTAATATTCAAGCAAGCAAAGTTCTCAATTCATGATCTCTATATCTGTATTCTGGCTTATCTATCCCCGCATCGCCCAATAATACACACTTAGATTTTCTTATGTCGCGTGCTCTGTACGCAATGGGACCATCACTTCATATATGATATATGACACACAGCCTACATCTCCAGGCTAATCATTGCTGTGAAAAGTGGAACATCATTCTGTAGTCGTCTATACGTTGTCATAAATTATATGTCATCGCTGCTAAATTCACGTAAGGACACGCAGCACATTACTGAATCTTGCGCTGTATGCCAATTTTTTCCTCCATGCAGGCGACATTGACAATGACTGAGACCGGTCGGACGTCCATTCGGCGAGTCTGTGACCCTGGCCGATAGATGGCCCTGCTGCAGCCTCAGCCGTATAAAGCCAGTGGAGCTATCCAGCAGACACTCACAACACAGTCAGCCACCTCAAACAATCAGCAGAAATGAACACTGTAAGTCGAAACGAGGAGTAGACTATTCTGGAAATCTGGAGTAATTCATATTGGTCTTTGTTCCATGAACATCTATGTATGCATCAACACTGAAGCTTTTGTTAGCTACTTCTGGCCATTTTGGGGTGTGTAAAACCAAAAATAATTAACAGAGTATTCCGCACTCACGATCATCATCTTGCCTTTCCAGATCATCATCGTTGCCTGCCTTGTGGCTGTGGCCGCGGCCGCTCCCCAAATAAGCTACCAGCCCAACCAGTACTCGGGTAGCCCCCAGCCGCTGATCAACATTCTTAGCCAGAGCTTCGAGCAGGACCCCAACACCGGCAACTACAAGCACAGCTATCAGCAGGACAACGGACAGGCCGTAAGTAACGAGCAACACGCAAAGTCAGGAATACGGCAAAATTATATCCTTTCTATAGCAATGAGTCATAAGCAGTGCCTTTGTATAACGACATTCCAGCAATATTTAGCAATAAAGTAGTAAAATGAGCAAGATGAGACCAAACAAGATCATCCAAAATGAGCAAAGCGCAACCTGCGTGCGGATAAAATGGTAAATAAACAGTGGAGAGGCCTATGCTTTCACAAACTCTTTTAGTAACTTCGTACGTCTTTTTTCAGGTCGCCGAGGAGGGCAGCGTGTACCCGGGCCCGCAGCCGGAGACGGGCAGCATCACCCAGCAGGGCAACTTCCAGTTTGTCGGTGACGACGGCAACACCTACCAGATCTCGTACGTGGCCAGCGAGGGTGGTTTCCAGCCGCGAGGTGCCCACCTGCCCGTGGCGCCGGCTCAGATTCCCGAGTATGCCCAGCTGCGTCAGGAGCACCCGGAGCTCTTCTGGGCCGAGGGACAGCAGCCGCAGCAGCCCACCTACGTCTAGTGGCGCAAAATGTGTTTAAATAAATATTTTTGATGTAAAATATATCATATATGGAGAAGTAAAACATCTCTATTCATGCAATAAGGTCCTAAAGACTCACACGAGTCGTCGATGAAGTTAAAGAATGGAACAAAAACTAATCCAGGATTGCTGGAACACAATTCAAAATGAGAGTATCCTAAGCGGGAACTTTTCATCTTGATTTTATTTATTTCTTTTTTGTGTAATTGAAAAATGATTTATTTGTACATCTGGATGTCAAGACAGATTATGCCAGGTAAAACATCGGACGAGATTGGGATTCATCCTAGCTTTTTCATAGCCAATCGCCGGAGTCCCTCACCGTTCCGATCCTATAACTGGGCTGGAGTTTTCACTTTTTTTTGTGAAACTTTTTCCTTTTTGAAATGAAATTGCCCTCACATGTGCACGTGGCGCGTGCCATCCCCTGCACCGCACACCATTCGATAGCCCGTTCGATTTTCTACACGATGCTGTTTTCCCCGTGAAGATCGGGCCCACGGTTACCGAGATATTGCACGGGGACCAGACCCGTGTCGGGCAAATTTAGCCTTTTTTGCCCGTTTTTGCAAGCCGATTTATGCATGTACATAAAGTCTATGACGCGAATTTGCACTTTTCGGCCCGCGCCACGCGCTTGCTATCGACCCGATCGAACCGAGACCCCTCAAAGGCACGTTGTCCATTCTTGTTCTATAAAGTTGCGCAAATTTCAGCGCGCCAGGTGCAACAGCCTGACCTGCAACCCGCGCTACGTAGCACCAAGTCGCGACCTCGGTAACAGACAGAAACTACGTCACCACAAATAGTAGTATAGAAAATCACTTTTCATTTGCTTCAGATAATCCAAAATAATATCCGGCGCTAAAACTACAGCGTATATATCTTTGCCAGTGACTTTTAATGGTAAGGTAACACACTGGTGGATCGAGAGAGGCAGTCATGTTCGCTGCAGGGGGATGGGGGGGGCATACCCCGAAACAAAGTTTCTCCAAATTCCAAAAACTTGTCGGATTTCGATTCCTTATGCAATACTCCGGTTTAAAACAAACTTTGCACCATTACACTAGTTCGGGTTTTCGTTTCAATCTCGAACAACCGCAAATTTCCGTCGATTTCGGGCGCTGCGGGGGATGGTGCATTTGCCGCAAATGATCCCCCCTGTATCCGCCAGTGAAGTCATATGACCGACCCGACCACAGGTAACCCGAATCCGAAATGTGCAATTAATGAAGCCCCAGGAAGTTACATTGTAGTCCTGCTAGTTTATCTTCCCCTTGAAAGATCACTGGCAGTGAGAGATATGCGAAACTGCAACCTTTATAGGGCGGTGCAGAGGCTTACTAATGTGTTAGGTATGCCACGCCATCAAGATCCGTGACCTGACGATCGAAATATGTGGTCGGCGTCATACGATCTGGCTTCAATCAAAGGTCCGGTGTGTCATTTACATGAGCTCTCTTGGCCTGCACATTGCAATCGTGAAAACCCCGTCAGGGCGCGGCACCCACCTCTCGGTCGGGGATGGTCAACCCGCGCCCCGCTGGGCTATCCAGCAATACGCACTCTGCTGGGAAAAGGGGGGGGGGGGAAGATTCTGCCCTCCCTGCCCATGCTTCCGAGCCGATTGTCGTAAAAAGAAACGGGGAAACGACATTTGAAAGCTATCAACAAGACAGACATTTGGAGCCAAAATATTTTTCTTGAGTAGTTCAGAGGTCAAGTTAGGGTCAGGTCAAGGGTGCAAAATGCTAGTTTCTACATTATCGGCTTTGGAGCGCAGTTGGCAAAGAATCAACTGAGATTGATTACCTACCCAAAACGTGTTGTTAAGCTACCAGGGCATGAGATGTCATGCAAAGGTCAAGGTCAAGGTCAGTTCAGGTCAACTAGGCCGAAATATAGAAAAGGACATGTTCGGCACATGTTTTATGAGCCATTTTAATCATAGAATTGAATTGGCATACTCCATTAGTGATATGGACTATATATGGATGAACTTTAGGTCGAGGGCAGGCTAGGGTCAGGTCAAGTGAGGTCACGTTTTAAACTTTAAAGCTGATTAATTATTAACACCCTAAAAAGTCTGTCTGATGCAGTTTTTGACGAAAATCGAATCGTGCTATTTCGTTTACGTACGACGTCTAAAACTAAAAAAAAAAATTGTGTGTCGTGACGTCGAAAATTAAAAAAAAGTCTACATTTCTTAACCGACGGGTCTAATAATTTGAACGTAAGTGCACAGGAACAACTTCTATAACATGCATTCCGAGTTTGTTTTTCAATAAACTCAAATTGTTCCATTTCATAACGATTAAAGAAAAAACAAAACAAACAAAATCAATTTGTTGAATAAATATACATATTTCGGCCAAAATCACAAATTAAACAAAATGGCGGTTTAAAAGACATCGAAGAATCAAGCACATGCTTATTGTTACGTCTTGATTCATTAAAATCTTAATATTGTACAGGATTTCAAAGTTTTGCAATTCTTAAAGCGAAAATGGCGTGGCATGACGCTACTATAACATCATTTTCTTATTTGTTTTAGGGGTACCAGGGGCAAACAAGGGCAAAACAGCTGTATGGGTTCTACGACCTCTCCTACATACATAGTTATGTATATGTTTGACACTGTAAGAAGGATCATACGGACCGTATGGGCCTCAATACCGCCCCTATGATTCAAGCAACTAGGCGAGTGGGTTGAGGGCGCGATGGGCGCTATCAAAAACTATGTCAGCGCTGCTAAATTCACATAAGGACACGCAGCACATTACCGAATCTTGCGCTGTATGCCAATTTTCCCCCACGCAGGCGACATTGACAATGACGGAGACCGGTCGGACGTCCATTCAGCGAGTCTATGACCCTGGCCGATAGATGGCACTGCTGCAGCCTCAGCCGTATAAAGCCGATGTGCGGTGATCCACTCGACATTCAGAGCACAGTCAGCCACCTAAAACAATCACCAGACATGAACACCGTGAGTAAAAACGAGAAGTAGTCTATTTTGGAGGAAATCATATTGGTCTTTGTTCCATGAACATTTATGGAAGCATCAACACTGAAGCTTTTGTTAGCTACTTCTGGTCATTTTGGGGTGTGTAAAACCCAAAATAATTCGCAGAGTATTCCGCACTCACGATCATCATCTTGCCTTTCCAGATCATCGTTGCCTGCCTTGTGGCTGTGGCCGCGGCCGCTCCCCAAATAAGCAACCAGCCCGACCAGTACTCGGGTAACCCCCAGCCGCTGATCAACATTCTTAGCCAGAGCTTCGAGCAGGACCCCAACACCGGCAACTACAAGCACAGCTATCAGCAGGACAACGGACAGGCCGTAAGTAACAAGCAATACGCAAAGTGAGGAATACGGCAAAATTATATCCTTTCTATAGCAATGACTAATGAGTCATAAGCAGTGCCTTTGTATGACGAAATTCAAGCAATATTTAGCAATAAAGTAGTACAATGAGCAAGATAAGACCAAACAAGATCATCCAAAATGAGCAAAGCGCAACCTGCGTGCGGATAAAATGGTAAATAAACAGTGGAGAGGCCTATGCTTTCACAAACTCTTTTAGTAACTTCGTACGTCTTTTTTCAGGTCGCCGAGGAGGGCAGCGTGTACCCGGGCCCGCAGCCGGATACGGGCAGCATCACCCAGCAGGGCAACTTCCAGTTTGTCGGTGACGACGGCAACACCTACCAGATCTCGTACGTGGCCAGCGAGGGTGGTTTCCAGCCGCGAGGTGCCCACCTGCCCGTGGCGCCGGCTCAGATTCCCGAGTATGCCCAGCTGCGTCAGGAGCACCCGGAGCTCTTCTGGGCCGAGGGACAGCAGCCGCAGCAGCCCACCTACGTCTAGTGGCGCAAAATGTGTCTAAATAATTGTTTTGTGATGTGAAATATATGGAGAAGTAAAATATCTGTATTCACGCAATAAGGTTCTGAACTCACACGAGTCGTCGATGAAGTAAATGAACGGAACAACAACTAATCCAGAATCGCTGGAACACAATTCAAAAGAGTATCCTAAGCGGGAACTTTTAATCTTGATTTTATTTCTTTTATTTGTTTAATTGAAAAATGATTTATTTGTACATCCGGATGTCAAGACAGATTATGCCAGGTAAACCATCGGACGATATTGGGATCCATCCTAGCTTTTTTCATAGCCAATCGCCGGAATCCCTCACCGTTCCGATCCTAACTGGGCTGGAGTCTCAAGAAAAACGAATGCGTGTTTGCCCTTATACAAGCTGCAGTGACTGGTATCCAATTTGAGCGTGGAGTCCAGCAGTAATTTGTCAGATGAGATATTACTTGATGAGCCAGGTCGAGTGACAAACTTTTGTTTGCAAAAAGTCAACATATGACGTTGACATCTGGTAAATGTTAAGTTCACAGTTCTTCAAATCACGAAGCTGGTCACAGAAGTCATAGAATTTAAGCTGCAGGTCTTCCTGAGTCCCTTGGTGACTTTTCTGAATCGTAAGAGTAGTTTGATCGGAATTTACTGACGACAAACTCCAAGGCACCTAGTGAAGTCATATATTGCGTCACGCAAGGCCAGCAATGCAAAAGTAAGGCACCGGACCTTTCAAAGACTGTATAAAATCACTTTTCATTTGCTTCAGATAATCCAAAATAATATCCGGCGCTAAACATACAGCATATATATTTCTGCCATTGACTTTTAATGGTAAGGTCATACACTGGTGGATCCAGAAAGGCAGTCATGGACGCTGCAGGGGGATGGGGGGAGGGGTGCATAGCCCAAAACAAAGTTTCCCAAAATTCCCAGAACTCATCGGATTTCGATTTCTTATGCACTACTGTGCAGTTTAAAACAAACTTTGCACAATTACACTAGTTTGGTTTTCGTTTTGATCTCGAAATTTCGGGCGCTGCGGGGGGGGGACGGTGCATTTGCCGCAAATGATCCCCCCTGGATCCGCCAGGGAAGTCACATGACCGACCTGACCTCAGGTAGCCCGAATCCGAACCAAAAGGCGAAATGTGCAATTAATTAAGCCATAGGAGGTTACATTGTAGTCCTGTAAGTTTATCTTCCCCTTGAAAGATCACTGGCAGTGAGAGATATGAGAAACTGCAACCTTTATAGGGCGGTGCAGACTGCAGAGGCTTAGGTACTTATGTGTTACGTATGCCACGCCATCAAGATCCGTGACCTGACAATCGAAATATGTGGTCGGCGTCATACGATCTGGCTTCAATCAAAGGTCCGGTGTGTCATTTACATGAGCTCTCTTGGCCTGCACATTGCAATCGTGACAACCCCGTCAGGGGGCGGCACCCACCTCTCTCGGCCGGTGAAGATCAACCCGCGCCCCGCTGGGCTATTCAGCCATACGTGCCCTGCTGCAGCTGTGGAGATGGGAGGGCAGATTCTCCCCCCCCCCCCCCTCTTACTTCCGAACTGATAGAAAGTCGTAAAAAAGGGGAAAACAACAGACGAAAGCTCTCTAACAACACAGATATTTGGAAGCAAAAACAAATCCTTAAATAATTTAGAGGTCAAGGTAAAGTCAAGGGCACAACATGCGATTTTCCACATAATCGGCTTTGGAGCGCCATTGGCAAAGAATGGACTGAGATTGATAACCCCGAAGGTGTTCTTAGGCTACCACGACAAAATACATTGCAAAGATGCCATGAAAAGGTCCAGGTCAAGGTCAGGTCAGGTCTACTAAATACGAAATATAGAATAGGACATGTTCGACATATGCTTCACCAGCAATTTTATTCATTGATTTCAATTGGCTAACTCCGTTCGTGATATGGACCATGCATGAATTAATTTTAGGTCGAGGGCAGGTCAGGGTCAGGCCAAGTGAGGTCAAGTTTTAAAGCTGATTGGTTATGCCCTAAAGTGTCTATCTGATGCAGTTTTGACGAAACTCAAATCGTGCTATTTTTGTTTCCGTACGATATCTAAAACAGAAAACTTTTATAAAAAATGCAATTTTGTTCGTATAGTGACGTCATAAGATTTCACTACTACATTTTTTAACCGATGCTTCTAAAAATTGGATTGTAGGTGCACAGAAACAACTTCTTTAACCCTCGCCCGCACATGCCATTTTCCCATCCTAGAACGCACATGGGGGGGGGGTTGTCACCCCCCCCCCCGCGCCATTTCGTTCCTGTTGGAGATAGAGCTTAGCAGTAAAGACCAAAAAGATTCTTTGGGAAGAGACGAATCCAATGATACCCAGTTTTACCTTCTCAGGTCAGTCATTGACCTTCCAGGTCAGGTCAAACTAAAAAATGTTGCTGTTTTGGGTCACCGTTGGATATCAAGTGCGCTGCTTATCAAATACCGATGACGATGCTGTTTTCTGGTGCCAAGCCAGCTAGAACCTCTTTGTCACACTATCCGACCAGAATTTTGCTGCTGAGGTCATTTCAGGTCAAGTTAGGTCAAGGTCAATTATATGTGTTTGTATGTCTGTGTGTGTCTGTGTGTATACTGATGTGTGCACCGATTGTTTTTGGGTCCATATCACATGAAATCATGATCTGAGAAGCTTTTACCAAAAATGCAGTCAAAAAACTTCACAAAAAGTAAATTCAGCTTGCCTAAAACGCAATTATCTTAGATGACCTAGGTTGACCTTGACCCTGACCTTGACCCCTGTACATCGTCGAACAACATGTTCCATGATAGGTGGGAGGTAAGACTGGCAAAAAAGGCCGAAATCAGGGTGTCAAAAGCTCACAAGGCCCATGGCAAACGCAAGATGTTGAGAATTGGCCATTTGGGTCATGACATGACCTGAAAAACAAGGTCATATCTCCGAAACCAAAAATCACAGAAACTTGAAATTTTCAGTGGACATCAAGAAAGGATAGAGGAGCAGCTATACGAAAAATCAGCCTTCTAGCTCTAAAAATGTTGAGTGCAGAGCAGAAAGACTGCCTGGGGGGGTGGCAACCCCCCCCCCCCCCATGTGCGGGCGAGGGTTAACCCGCGCCCCAGTGGCGGTCTCAGCTAACTTCGCCCTAGTGGGGGGGGGGGGCATATGTTACCACCCACCTCTAACTCAAAAACTAAGAGGGCTAGAAAGACGTGGTAAAAAGCAGTCGATAGCTCTTAATGCGTACGTTTGAAACTAGTTCAGTCATTTTTCATCTTAGAGCAATATTGGGGTCACCAGAGGTCATCAAAGGTCAAAATTTGCCAATTGTCATTATATTTTTCAGAAAACATACCGTCATCTCAGGAACTATGATAGCTAGAAAAACGCAAAGAAAAGCAATCGATAGCTTTTGAGCTCTTCTTTTGATAAGGTCATTATCAAAATTGACCTCAGGTCAACGGTTTAGCCTCCAGAGGGCAAAAACTCCAAAAATAGCTGTTTTTACGAAAAGTGTTTTTTGACAATAACTTTCGAATTAAAAAACGCCACGACATTTCCAATGCCAGAATCGTGTTCCTCATGCCAAGACGCGTCGAATTAACTGTAAATTGACCTTGAAAGGTCAACTTGAAAATTTGACCTCAGGTCAAGGTCATGACCTGACCGGAAAAGGTCATGTTACATATCAGTCAATGTATCTCAACAAGACAAACACTATGAGACCATCCCCAGCGTTCTATCTCTTTCCAATCGCGAGTTATTGGCAAAAAGCTGTTTGTAGCCTCAAATGACCTCGGATGACCTTTCTAGAGGCTATCAGCAAAAATGACACCTTGGTCATCACGGGTGGTCCAAATCATTGTGATTCTGAAATAGTTGGACTGTTCCTATGCGTAAGTACACACGGATCTAGAGACATTTTCATTTTCTCCATTGACTTGTAATGGAAAGGTCACGCCGCTGGCCTGACCTTAGGTCATGGATATAAAAAATCCGAGATATAAAAATTGTAGGCGCCAATAACATCATGAAATCCACCAGGTTTAAAACCTCTCTGACAAACACTGCAGGCTGGACATGATTGCAAACTTTTTTAGGCTTGGTCAGCTAACTTGACCTGGTCAGGTCATGACCTGACATGACCTGGGGTAAAAAATTTCACACATTGTCCAAAATTGATGAACAAAAAGCTACCCCAAGCGGCGCGGCGTTATTCACAAGCAAAAAACATGACAGGGTGGTAACATATGCCCCCCCCCCCACTGGGGCGAAGGTTAACATGCATTCCGGGTTTTCAATAAACTCAAAATGTTGCATTTTATTATTTCCTCCACCAAAAAAAAAAAAACAACAACATCAGTTCGTTGGATTACAAAATATGAGACAAAATCGCAAATTAAACGAGATAGCCATTTGCAAGAATATGAAGAAACACGCCCATGATTTTTGTTACGTCCTGTTTCTAAAAATCTCAACCAGAGCTCTGTTCGCACCCCGTTTATTTATCAGCAGGCTGCGAGCATGCTGCTACTTCTTGGCTCCTCATTGGTAGAAATTCAAGTGGTCTATTCGTTACACCAATGAGAGGCTAAGAAGCGCCAGCAATAACTTCCTTATATGGGGAAACCCGTCAGCACGCTGATATAAAAACAGCGACCGAACAGGGCCCTGGTACCTACAGGATTTTGAAATTTGCAGTTCTGAAAGCGAAAATGGCGTGACATGACGCCAATAAAACATCATTTTCTCATTTGTTTTAGCGATACCAGGGGCAACCAAGGGCACAACAGTTATGTGGGTTCAACGACCTCCATTATATGTTTGACGCTGTAAGAAGGATCATACGACCCGTATGGACCTCAATACCGACCTATGATACAGGCAAATAGGCAAGTGGGTTGAGGGAGCGATGTATAGTCGACTACAGAATGATGTTCCACTCCTCAGAAGCTGCAGTTGACCGGAGCGCTAAGTTGTGCCGTTTATCACGCAATTAACCCTCGCCGGCACGGCACAGTTGATGCAACCCCCCCCCCCCT